GCATGCTTATCGGACATCAGTGCATACCTCTACTGAGACAACCCCATTTTCTTTGGTTTATGGGATGGAAGCCGTATTGCCAATGGAAGTAGAGATCCCACCCTTGAGGGTTTTAAAGGAAGTTAAACTAGAAGAGCCTGAGTGGATTTGAGAACACTATGAACAGTTGAATCTCATTGAAGAAAAGAGATTGACAATGTTATGCCATAGTCAGCTATATCAAAGATGAATGATGAGGGCTCATGACAAAAAGGTCTGACCACATTGTTTTTGAAAGGGAGAGTTGGTCTTGAAAAAAAAATTTCCAAATCAGCATGATAATAGAGGGAAATGGACCCCGAATTAGGAAGGGCCATATATGGTGAAATGGGCTTTCTTGGGTGGAGCTTTGATAGTGGCAGAGATGGATGGAAATGATTTGCCCCATCCTGTAAATTCTGATGCTGTGAAAAAGTACTATGCTTAAAAAAAAGAGAAAAAAAATAATTAAATAATTAAATAATTAAAATAATTAAAAAATGAAAAATGAAAAAGGAAGACTCAAGGCGAAAACTCAAAAAGGGCGGTTTGAGTCATAGGGGGTCATCTAACTTGAAAACCTAAAAAGGCAACTTAGATGAGGAGAATACAGCATTGAATTTGAAAGTTCATTAGCATGGAGGCTAGCATATTCTGAGGAGCTCTAAGTTGTTAAGTGCATCAAATGGTTGAGTTTTCAAAGGGACTTTGAGATGTGTTATCATGGTCATTTGATTATTCATTTTTGGGCTTTACCTTCCCTATACCCATTTTTGTAATTCTTTTATTCCCCAAAGTTTGTCGGTATTTTTGCTAATAAAAGACATTCTACTTTATTCTTTATGTGTTTCTGCTGTTGATTATTTCCTAACCATCTTTATTCTTTTCTCCTTAATACCTTGCAATGGAAAAAATGTGTGAATGCATTCTTATTTTTTGAGATTGAAATAATGATTGATAAATAAATAATAGCATGAAAGATTTCTACATTACATTGGAAATGTTAAGAGTGATAAAGGTAAATTTGAAATGTTTAGTTCCTAATAAGGACATATATTTAGAAGGGAATTTCTTGCAAAAAAAATGTGAGAATTAAATGAAAAAATGATTACGAGCTACACTGACTCGATTTTTGCAGAACAAAAGGTTCAAGGTCCCAAAAAAAGCTTGAGAAACATGAGTACCATAACTAAATGGGAATTAATTAGCCAACATTTGCATAGCATGCATTGAATTTTACACGTATTGTATTTTGCATAGCATATACTGCATTTAAGCAAGCATAGTGCATAAGTTCAAAAAGCAGGGGTATTCTAAGACCCCTCATGGAGAAGACAGATGTGAAGACTTTTTGATTTTTTAATTTCTATTTAAGAATAAGCTTGTGAGGTAAGTTTTTAACTTTTGAAAAAAGATATCTCTTGGTATCAGGATCGATTTGCAAGACCTTTGGGCATAATTTCCTAAAATTCCTTCAAACATGATCTTTGACTCTTTTGGACATAATTGTTAAGGAGTATTTTATTTTTCAAAGTTTGCCTCTATTCAGAAGAGCCATTTATTTTTCAAAGTTCGTTGCCTCTATTAAGAGGAGCCATTTATTTTTGAAGTCTGTTGCTTCTATTTATAAAAGTTTTGTTAAAAATAAAGCATAAATTTGTTGGGATGACAATGAGCAGGGTATCTACGTCTTTGCACAATTTTTGTTTCACAGAAAATGTACAAAGAAGGGCAGTTGTAGACCTTTAATTTGTCCGGGCCCAAGCTCGAGCCCATTGGGCTTGATTCAACAAGGGCTGAGCTTAAGCCCATTGGGCTTAGCTTAGTTCTGGCCCAATTTTAGTTTTAATTTTTAATTTTTAATTTTAATTTTTAATTATTATTATTATTATTATTATTATTATTATTATTATTTTATTTTTGATTTTTTGATTATTTTTTCTATTTTATTTTTATTTTATTTTTTTTTTGGTCCGAAATTGAAGCTTTAATTTCTGTTTCCTTCTGGAATAGGGGCTGGTAGAGTTGGACTTGAATCCCAGTCAAAAAGGGAATAGGAATTGATCAAAAATTATTTCTAATAAGTGCCTACAAATAGAAGCTCAAACAGAAACATATGGAGATGAATTAGAGAGGAATCAGATAGGGATCAGAGGGGAAAACACAGAGGAAAAAAAATAAAAAATAGTGTTAGAGACAGTTTATAGTTTTTAGGAAATTTTTAGGAAATTTGGGGTTTTTTTTTTTAATTTTGGAAAATTTTCAGATTTCGATGAATTTTTCGACGAAGCTTAAATTTTTTGGCGAGATTTTCGACCAACTTTGAAGTTTTCGACGGGTTTTTCTAGATTTTGGCAGACATTCAACCGAAATCTGGATTCTGTTTAGAGAGAAGGAGGGGAAAAAGTAAGAGGAAAGAGAGAGGGAAGAAGCCATTTGCAAAAAAAAAAACAAAGGTTGGAGCCTTTTATACCTACGCAAAATGACGTCGTTTTGACCTTAAGAAGACCCCAGGATCTACGTGTTTCCATTCGGGTGATCCAACCCGTTGCGCTAACCCTCTTCAACCCGCACCACAGACCCTGTTCTTGAGCCGAGCTGAGTCAATTTTCCCTAGCCACGCGTTTGAGCTGTTCCGTCTGTCTTGAGCCGAGCCGTTTTCCAGCCCAAGTCGAGCCGATTTCAATTTTTTTTGTGGTATTTTCTTATTCATTTTATTTAAGCATTTTATTTATTTATTTCTCTTAGTTTTTTATTAAATTAAAATAAAAAAAATAAAATTCTAGAACACATATTAATTATCCAATAATAGAATTTATAAAAATTTCAAATGAGAAATTTTTATAAAATTCTTAGGTGAAAATTTTTATCTAGGTTTGTCTCAAATGGTGGAATAATTTAGATAAAATTTTAATAAAAATAATTGTATTCTTTTCCAAATAAAATTTGGATTGCAAATATTTAATAATTATCCAAAGATGAGATTCATAGAAATTTCAAATGATAAAATTCTAAGAAATCTCTAGATGAAAAATTTTCTCTAAATTTGACCCAAATAGTGGAATAGTTTAGATGAAAAATTTCAATAAAAGTAATTATTATTATTTTCTTTCCAAAGAAAAAACTAAAAAGAATTTCTAAATAGACCCAAATGGTGAAAATTTTAAAAATTAAAAAAAAAAATTTCTAATTTGGCCCAAATTATGAAATAATTAGATATATTTTTAACAAACAAAAAAGATGAATGATAATAATAAATAATAATAATCAAACCTTTTTTCTGACGATGGAACATCTTTAAGATATCCAAATTAGATTCTTGAATACCTTTGAGGTGAAAAAATATTTTTTAAGAGATCTACCGGATTTATGAAAGAATCTTATAAATTATTTTTAATATTTGACGTTAAAATTTGAAACTATTAGACTCAAGACCTTAGGATAAATTTGAAATAATATAGTACTATCCTTTAGATGGGCATATAGGGATGCTATAACATTTCTCACATGAAACCAAATTCTCAAACCTTGTTCTGATTAGTAACCCGAACCTATTCTTTTAGGGATCCTTAGTCAAACTTAAGAGTTCTCTAAAAGGATCCTTGGTCAAGTTTAGGAGTTCTCTAAGAGGATAAATTCTTTAGGTAGCCAATCACACCTAGTAAAAAAGATTGATGACGACTCCATTCATTTGTTAAATTTAGCTATAAATTTTTGAATCTATATGTTATGACACTGTTAAACTAGTTTTTTTTAGATCAGGTAATCAAAAGCTCCATAAAAACCAATATTGACACTGGTTTTAGGGTTTTGACCCTAACCAATTGAAAAAATTATTGAAGAAAAAAAGAGAAAAGTATAAGGATAAATTTTTTTTTTCTTTTTTTGTATAAAGAAAGGGATAAAGATGTTGGGTGAAGAACCATTCAAGACAAAAGGAGTAAACTCAAACCCAAGACCCACAAACATATATGACATATACTCCTGTCTACTAAAGCTGTTACGGATCTTAATGTGAACCTTGCCAGCCTGTCAAGACACAACGTGGCTAAAAAATATATATTAGCAAAGAGCTGAACAGATAAGAATTGATCTGCAAAATACTTTATTATGCTAATTATTTATGATAAACTTTTGACAGAGATGCCTCCTGAAGTTCAACCACTTGTAGGCAAATAACAGGAAAAAGTGTTATTAATTGAAAATACAAATGACGTGTCTTAAATTAGAGGCATGAAAGGATAGATAATCAAACTCAAACTCTCAGCGATAAGACAATGATGCTCCTGTAAAAGAATACCAGGATCAAACTGATGCAGAAGCAGCTTCAGGCTTAAAATCTTGATGTAGATACATCTGGTTGTAATCTACAAAAGCATAAGAAGCATGTGTGGAATACAATCTATCCACTTCGTTGCTTTCTCGCCTCCTCAAATGACCAGTCTCAATCAGGTGTTCCTCTCCTCTTAGACGTGGCAGATAAGAGTCCACCAATGAAGCACCATAATATCAACTATAACATGGATTCATCGTATAGGAGTCCAAAGTAGAAACAGCAGCTACAGATGTATTTGCAGATGCTGCAGAACCTGTTGATTGCATTTCTCATGAAGCACCAAAATCATAAGTCTGATACTCTCTCTCAGTCAAGTAAAGAGGATCAGAGCGAATTATATCTCTCTGCATAGCCACAGATTCCCTGTATACCTTGTCTGGTTGTCGTAGAAGCTGCCCTCTGTAATCTCCCTGGTAAGATGCTAATGCTGGACTGATATGCTGCTGAAGAGTCAAGCTTCTTCTCCCTCCCTGAAGACCGCCATGTATTCCTTCTTACCAAGGCATAAATCACAATGACTGCCTTCCTCCGAGTATATGCCAACTCTAGATATGCAATTTGCTGATCCCTTTCATGAGATGAAACAGAATAACTTGTAGCACTGATATTGGCATAAGGATCTCTAGCAGATGCTTATCATGAACTTCCTTGTTGTCAGAGTGTTCAATGATTCCAGCCACTGCATTTGACAGGGAGTGGACAGGCAGTGCAATTGAATGAACTCCCACCGGTTGAAAAAGTTCAGTGAGCTTCCGAACTTGAAAGGGAAATTTCAGATGAAATTAATGCTTAAATATGAAAGGAAACTATGAACACCAAACCGCAAGGTATGAAAACTATTCCTCACTTGTCTAGCAGTAAGTTCAGTTTTGAATTTGTGCTTTTCATTATAAGTTTCCTTGATTGCCTTCATGAAAATGCTCTCTGCCAGAGGAAAACAATCAGCATGGATACTGAACCGCACCTGAAATGGAAGTCTTTGGTACACAAAATCTCTTCAGTAAGGAAGAAGGAGAGTTGTAATTAAAGGAAGAAGGCTATAAAAAAATGGTACCTAAGCGGGGAAAGCCCCACCAAAAGCTTTGGGCTCAAGTTTCATGCCACCAGAAGAGGATGCCTTATAAATCCTATACATAAGCTTGAGATCATAATCATAGAAAAAGCTTAAAAACCCAGGTCTGATACCCAACACAATATCTTTTTTACCTGTTGGTACACCCATTAGACAATATCGGAAATAATCGAGCTTGGTCTTTGAATTGCATATTAATATCGGACCATCAATCTTTTCTTTCTTCTTATTTTCTTGTTTCTCTCCCTTGTTGCGCTTTTCTATATTCTTGTTGGTTTTCTTTCCTTGAATTTAGCTTCTTAGAATTATCTTCAGTAACTTTACTGCCTTCTAATACACTCTTGTTTTTCTTCTTTGGCTTTCTCCTCCGGCCCTCAAAAGTACCAGTGGCTTTCCTTGTTTTCAAAAAATTCTTGGCCATTGACTTTGCAACATCAGATTTAGCCTTAAATAACATTGGGCCTTTCTTTTCAGATGATTGTGATTTTGCCAAGTCTTCTGCAGCATTGTCAGCTTCATTTTTGTTATTTCTTGTTCCATAGTCTACTAACACACCAATTGTGCTCCTGGTTAAATTAGCAGGCAAACAGATAAGATTCTAAACCAGGACATGAATGTGAGAGGAGCAGTTTGAGAGCCTTTAAAGCCAACAAGCACATTGAGTAAACTTCAAGGGAAAAAGAACATGTGGAATAAAGCAATTTTGATTTTTTAAAGTAGAATAAATCCTTCTTAATCACGCATGTAAATTTAATGGTTTAACATCATTATTGAAGTAAATACACTTATGGGAACTAAATCATTTGTGCAAGACACTTAGTGGTCTTTCTTGCCAGTGGAACCTAATTTATAAAATTGGGTCCAAAGCAGACACAAAAACATAGAATATTCCCAAACACCCAAAGTAGAGCCCCATATTAACCATAGAGTCCATAATGAATCAAAAGAATATTGGTAGGTTATACCTACTTCTTATCATGCATTTCAACCAATCAAAATTAAGAATCATATAAGGGCAATCCCTAATTGTCAATACCAAATAAAACCAATATCAATATGTAAAGCTATACATTGGACTTGCAAAAGGATGAAGAAAATATCATCGGAAAGAAAGAGCTCTCCCTTCTTTTCTCCTACATAGAACTTAGAAGAAGCTTAGCTGGAGAAAACAGAAGTTTCTCCGCTTTGTCTCTCACCTCACAACACATTATCTAGGGATAGAAAAGAAAGTAACAAGTAACAACAGCATAGAGTCAAATGACATCTCATTTAACTCTTTAATTTTCCACCATTAACGATAAATCTATTAAAAATGATCAATTTCATTCCGAATAGCTCATGTTCTTTCATTCTAAATGTCTTCTTCAATAACCTAACGAGTTAAAACATATCATTAATGTATTTCATCTCGATGCGCATACATCTAAAGAGATCCCAATAATTGTCTAGGAACTAATAAATTTTCAAAATATTTTAGAAAATGGGTCCTCAATATGTCTGATAAAGTACACATGAAAATGCACCAAAAATAAATTCAAGTTCCAACTAAACTAGTAAAGATCTTTAGAAAAGATTAAACAGAATAAAAACAGATCACGCCCATATCAGATAAACAGTTATGCCAAATAAAAACATGCACAAATAAATTCAAATCTATTTGATTTTAGCTCTAATCATGCAACAATTTTCACCAATTATAGTTATAAATTAAATTTCTTAGCTTTTGCAATCCTCCAAAAAATTTAATACGCATCAAATTTCAACATTTATTAGTCCCCCACCCAAAAAAAAAAAAAAAGACACATCTTCTTTAAAAGCTTTAAAATTTAACATCCAATTAAACTCATTAAAACGCAACAGCATCATGAATCAAAATTACCATTCCAAAATAATAAAAATAGTAAACCAGAAACCAAAAATTTTCGAAATTTCGTTACCTTAACTTTCTCTGCAACCAAACAGAAAATGACAAAAAAAATTTGCTCTCCAAAAAACACTGCTACGAAATCTGATCACATAGACATATTAGGGTTTTAAATTTGGAAAAGTGAATCTTTAGAAGCAGACAAAAAGGATAGATTTTCATTAACAGAATTTTCTTTCGCTCTGTTTTATTTATTTATTTATTTATTAAATGAGGTGAAGAAGGAAAAAGAAATTTCTTAAAATAAAATAGAAACAAACGGCCAACGTCTGCTTTCAGATTTCACAGTCACAGATTGGAAGAAAAAGCTAGTGAATACTTATAGTTATTTATTATTCATTTTACCAGACTACCCTTCTTTTTAAACTGAATTTACCATAATGATTTTTTTGTTTTCTTTTTTCTAAGCGGTAAGGATTGTGGCATTGCACTTTTTAATCCTTGCCAGAGGTTTTTTACTATTTGTTTTTACCATGTCAATTTAATTGAACTGGTTGCTTCAAAAATATAGATTTGTTATTGGGTAAATCCCCTTTCAATACAATAGTGTTTTTTTTTTTTTTAAAATCACAATTTAAGAAATTTTTTTTTTTTTTTAAAATGATTGCAAGGGCTGAAAAATTAGTTCATGCTTCAGTGTTGCCTCTTGAACAAAAAAAACATTACTGAAAGCTCAATTTACCTTTCAACCAGATCATATAACCCAAACTGAAATGAAAAAAAACCAAAAGGCATATCAAAATCAAAAGCAGAACAAAAAAAACCTATAACCAATTAAGCTAAGTTAAAATAACTAGAATCTTCTGATCCAAAAATGAAAAGGAAAGAAAAAGTCAAAGTTTTGTATCCTCAATCCTATGCAATTTCAAATCACTAAAAACCAATCAAAACAATATATATATTTATATATATATATTTATAAAACAAATCAAAGCATTAAGAGTACTTCTTTTTCATTCCCAAAAATGGAAGCAATTTATAACTCTTGAAGTCAACTGAAAAGTAGGAAACTTTGAAGAAAAGACTAATGGAGAAACCATTAAAACAATATCCAAGAACAACCCCGAACTTCATATCTTCTTCTCTTTCATTTCTCTTCCTTGTTTTGCATTGTCCACGAAACCCAAACAGGTGATCATCAAGAAAGGACTAACGATCACTCTAAAAACATAACGTTCTTTGGTTTTTTTTTCTTTTTTTTACATTATAATAAAAACAGAAAGAACAGATACCGAAAAGCGTTCGAGAGTCATGGCTTTCAGACTTAGAGGAGAGAAAGGAGAAGAAAGCAACGAAAGTAGCGAGCTTCCTCGCTTTTTCTTTTGGAGTCTGGGTGTGGTGATGGCCTGAGTTATTGCGCGTAGCCTTCTATTTATAGAACGTTATTGTTTTTTTTCTTTAATTGATTTATTTCTTTCCAAACTTTTAAATTTTAATTACTAAATATAATAAACAATTTTCCTCTGTTTTTTAATTCGATTCTTTAAAAAAGGAATATAAAATAAAACACTAAAATTTTAATTTTTCTTGATAAAAAAATAATTGTAAATAAAATAATTTTTATTAACCATTTCTGTTTATGTCCTTTTTCTTTTCTTATTAACAGAGGATGACAAAAATTTTTTGTCAAACTACATCTTTTGGAGTTTGGTGAGGACCGTTTCTTTTTTTTTTTGGTTCCTATTTGGGTAGGGGTCAAACCTTTTTTTTGCCTCACAATTTTCGCATAAAACCGTGCATTTAAGTTCCCTCAAAGGAGCAGCTTGGCTCTTGCCTCCTTGGGTACGTCGAGCCTTTCATGACCATTTTCCTAATATCGTTGAAACTTGAAAGTTGATTTCTTATGAACTGTAAGTAAAAATTTCTCCATGAAAAAACAGAATCAAATAGAAAACAGATTTAATATCTTATATATACACCAGCATGAGGATGGGATAGGCTACAGAACCTGCTTTCACCTCTTTCTCTGATGGGGACCATACCGAAATGTCCCAACAGAAGGCCACCAATCCTCAAATTTGGTGTTTTTGAGATATTGGTGAAGATTTATTTATACAATCAAATACAACTAGACATCTAATCATATGATACATTATTTAAAAAATTTTGTCAAACTCGTTGGATTACACAGTTCGACAAATTTAAAATTCGAATCCTAATTCTTAGGACCTCTTCTCTTATTTTTAAGCTGCAACTTTCTTCAAAAAATAAAATAGAAATTTGCCCTGACGAGAAATGATGATAAAACCTTTCAAAACCCTTTCATGCATGTTTCTTCATGACTTGCCTAAACAATGCTTTTGGTGTTGAAATTAGAGTAGGCAAACAAAAAGATGAAAGAAAAGGAATTATTATTAAATCAGAACAAGCAAATTATTTGCTTTCAGTATTAAGGAGGCAGTTTTACTTGTCTTACCAGGCAAACCAGTGAAGTTTTGTATTGTTCAAAGCCTTGGCGGATCAACATTTCTGTACCATCAACAATAACAGCACCACAATCTTTTGCTTCCTTTAAGAGCCTGGTGTCTTTTGGTGTCTAAAACGGCATCAAGACCATGCAATAATGTTTCAGAGCATGCTGCAAAAGTTCACAAAACAAACACATTTTTTAGCCTGAGGTCTGCTTACCACCTTGATTACCAGAGAATGACAAATACTAACATTCTTTTTTTTTTTGTAGATAAGCTATCAGGATTTGAATCTTGATTATTGAAACTCAAAATTCAGCATTCTATAGCAACAGGCCATGCAGCTGTTAGGCAAAATAGTAACATCGTTGGCATTCATTTTCATCAACTTTTTTCTTGGCACCAATAAAATTAACAGGGGATAGTCAAGGGGTTCGGTTTGAACCTTTGCAATGGGGATTTCATCAATCTTTGGTGCCATTCCCACCGATGTGGCATTTGCAAGAACCATGCTTTCTTCAGGGTGGAAGTTTTCTACTTCAGATTAGAGGGATTACTTGCCCTCCAACTTTTTGGGCTAGCTCTTGAGCTTTTTCTGTAGTAAGAATGGGATTCAAATAACAATTGAAGTTAGCAAATTGAAACAATAAGAACAGGCAAATGAATTGTTACCAAGTGTTCTATTGGCAATGACTACTCTTGCCCCCTTTTCTGAAGCACCATAAGCAAGTGCCTTGCCAGCACCACTGGCTCCCAAGACCACGAATAATTTACCAGCTAAAGGTGATCCAGAATATGGAGTTGCACCATTTAATTCCGTAGAATAAAAAACATTTTTGATTTCAAACAAACAAGAAAGCAAGCGCCTCAGCAGAATTCATAGCTTCTTTGCTTGCAAAACAAGTTACAAACCTCGCAATCCATCTTTGATGGTTGAGATTGCACCAATATAGTCAGTGTTAAATGCTATTAACCGACCATCTGGTCTCCTCACAACGTTATTGGTAGCTCCAATTTTCTAGAAAAGCCCAAGAATGAACTCAATAATTAACTGTAACATGAATTTACAAGAAACAGCCAATGCAGTACCCTGGCAGTGGGGTCAATCTCATCCATGAATTTAAGTGCAACCTCTTTGCGGGGGCATTGTACAGCTGCATTTAAATTGAAGTTTTCATTGTTAAAAGCCATATATTTATGCATATCTCTGCATGCGTCTGTGTGTGAAACCATGATGTAGCATTTCCAAGACAAGATCATACGTTAATCCAGCAAAGTCAGGGGAAGAGTAGGTATCGAAAAACTTCTACACGTCATCCACCAAGAAATGAACAAAAACTGCATTAAGACCAACTGCCTTAAGTGCTGCATTGTATAAAAGAGGACTCTTGCTATGGTCTACTGGGTTCCCAATAATGCCATATACTTTGGTATCTGCTCTTATAGGCTTAAAGTTATATAACTGCAACAAGTTCTTTGCAGTTGGTTGTCCAGTAACTGATACCTCACCTTCCTCCAGTGCACCATAACTGAGACACCAACCAAATCTGGGGCTGAGCAAGCATGAAATCAAACCTCTTTCACCCATAGCAACTCCAATTGTTGGAACCCACAGTTTCAAAAAGATGTCATCCAATCTTTAGAGAACTACTATTTCAGTCTTTCAGAAAACACTGCCATATTAATGTTATGTTCATTCATTACTTCTGAACGTAGAGTGATTTGGAAAATGCGCATGCAATCTGCAATATCAAGTGCAGTTGTTGCAATCTTTACTATGTCACTGCTGGTAGCTTGAATTCTTGCGACAAGTTTGCAAGGGCCTCTGCAAATGGAGCGTTGTGAAAATTGTGAGAAGAAACAATGATTTTGAAACCATGAGGCTTCGTTCCATTCATGGAATTGATGAAATCATGCACAACCTGCAAAATAGGTTAGGCATATAAAATATTATGGATATAGTATTGTAGATATTAATCAATAAACAATTGTTCGAGTGTTTGAAGGCTTATGATAACTACCTCACACTCAATATCAACATAGTTGGCCCCCAATTCCATTGCTAATCTAAGGGCATCCTGCCTCTTGGTTTCATCTCCTTCATATAGACCGCCTTCCCAAGTTGGCCTGGAAATTACATGCTAAAGTAAAAGCTTTCTTAAAACAATAAAGCAGAATCTTGTTCCATCTGAATTAACAAATTCAGGTGAATGTAATCTTGCTTAAATATTTCTCCTTTGGAACAAATTA